CCTGGCTCCACATGCTTCAAAAAACAATTGTTAAATTAATGGGGCGAACCCCCATTGCCCCCAGAACCTGCCAAGGGCAGGCAGTGGTTCCTGCTGGGGCTTTGCCTCTGGGCTGATAGTTTATTTTGCTGTAGAGAAGTATAAAGGCAACAAGTTTCCCCCTGGGGAGCCCTGGAGGGCAGAGGGGCTGCACTGAGCCCCAGCCTCCCTTCGGGCTTCACGACGCTGGTGGCAGCTTGAGCTCCCCGTGGTGGCACAGTTGTCCCCCTGTCATCCCTTCCCTGACCTCAGACACAAGGATCAAGTACCTGGGGAGTGTTTCTGCCACCATCAGCCCAGCTGAACAAACCAGGGAGTAATTGAGTCAAATGGCTCCATCCAACCTGTTTTATTTACTCTCTCCATCATCTGGCCCTGTGGGAATCACTGCTGCAGCAGAGGAGCAGTCCTGGAGCTGGGCGCAACCACTGCAAAAGAGGCTACTTTTAAAAACCAATTTATCCCACTGCTGCTACCACAAGGGCAGAAAATTCACACCAGCAGCTTCCCTGGGGGATGTCGCTTTGGTTGTTTGGTCTGGTCCAGCAAGTCCTGAGCCCCATCCCACCCTGCCATGACAGACACAAGGGTCCCAGCACCCTTATTCCTGCACATGGTCATCAGCAGTTTCTTTTCCAGCTGGAAAGCAAGCACAGACTTGAAGAGTCATGTGCACCCACCCATGGAAGCAGTGTATAAAAAGAAAAACACATTTTAATACAATTTTATGTGGGATTTTTCAGCCTTCTCTCACTGTGGGGTTGGGAGAAAGGTTTTGCAGCATTTGCTGTCGTGATTGGCCCTGACAGCCAGCCTGCTCATCTCAGATGCAGTTCCTTTTGCTTGCCAAAGACAAAATCAGGTTTAATGTCATGTTAGCTTATTTTTCCAATGTGATATGTCCCAGTGAGGACACAGTTCAACTGTTGGAGTGAGCGTTTGTGAAAATAACACGGATTTTTGCCAGGGAGCTGGGAGGTTTTGGTTCCCCCCTTGCTGCCAGCTGGTGCTGTGTGAGCGGGGTGGGGTACGGATGCACAGCCCTCACGGGGCTTTGTGTTTATTGTTTTAAAGATTGAGCCATGCTGGGGTGTTCCTGAAGGATGGATGAATAGGATCCAGGATTTGGGAGCTTAGCTGAAGTATTGGTTCAAAGGCTTTGCACAACTAGATGGTGGGAGATGATGTTCCTGTCTCTCGGAATGTCATTCTGCTTTCTTCCCCTGGCATGACAATTGCTCCAAAAACTGATCTGAAGCTCAGAATCTCTCAGGATAAACCAGGAGACAATCCACGTGAAATGTTCAGCTGGGGAAGTCTCTGAGTAAGGCTCTGCTCTCCTCACGTGAAGCAAGAGCTGCCCCAGGACACAAACACCCAAAGCTGGTGGCTGGGGTGTTGTGTAGCTGCTGTTTGCACCAGCTGTGCACAGCTACAGCCCAGAGGGACAAATGCTGACTGGTTTAGGCACAAAATTCCCTTTACAGGTGGGCCTGAGAGGGCATTATTTTGATGAAGTGTTATTTCATTGGAAAATCCTGACTTTGCATAATTTCTGTTTCTGGCAGAAGAAGTTTTGTTTACAAAATGTTTTCAAAAAAGCAGTTTTTGAGGAAATGTGTTGAAATCTTGCTATGGGATAGAAGTCTTCTGCCCACCATCCATGATTTTTCCTTTTTCTTTACATTATGCTGTAGCTGTTGCCTTAACTTGAACTTCTAAAAAAGTTTTAATTGAAAGGGGTTTTTTGTTTGTTTGGGAGGTTTGTTTTTTTTTTAATTGCAGCTATTCTGTTTGTGCAAATATCCTGATTTTGAACAAGAAGGAATCTAAAGCTTTTTTAAAAGGAAAAAAACAATGTGATTTCTATGCAGGGAATGCTTATTTCTCTCCCAGCCCTATATATACTTAAAATCCCATATTTTACATGTCAAGATTTATGCTTTCAAACCCATTAGCCATGTGATTGGATGGACAAGTGTAAATATACAGTTGTCATTCAGTAAGTACACACGGGGCTGTATGCGGGTAAATCACACAGAAAATTGTATTTATTTGTGATTTCTGTTGCTCCCCCTATTTCTCACTATGAACTGCCTGTGACAACCTCATACCCAAGGACTTCTTCCGCTGAACTTTGGGAAAAATCTAATCTGTCCCACATGTGCTCTCAGTAATGAGCCTGTGCTAGGAGAGCATATTCCCCATGTGCCCCAGCACTGAGGCACAGACAGGAGTTAGAGGCCAGCACACAGTGACAAAAAGCTTTTCCCAGATTCTGAGGCTTCTTATGACTGTAGCAGTAGTTACCTGCTGTTACCCATGGCTCAGTTACTCCCCTTACAGCAGAATTAATAGCTCTGTGTGTATGTATATACATAGTGCTTGTGTTTAAATACACATAGCCAGGTATTAATATAGATTTTTAAAAATTTTTTGTTTTGTTTTTGTTTTTTGTTGGGTTTGTTGGGTTTTTTTACATCTCTGGATGGCCAGAGATGCATGTTTGCTGCCTTGGGAGTGGCAATTTGCCCTTTAGAGCTGCAGAAAAGTCCCCTCTGACTATTCCTGAGCTGTTGGAAATGTCTGGCTGGTTTTGTTTCCCCTGCCTGGCTCTCTCCTCTCAGGGTGGGAGAGCTTGCATGATAAATGATCTGCAGATTTAACAGAAATATCATCTTATCCCAAAATTTCCAAGCTGAACAAATACTTGGAAATAAATGACTGTGACCTGTCATTTCCCATATGTTTGTGTACTGCTGGGGATGATGCTGCTGTGACCCGCTCAGGCTTTGGATATACAAAATAACATTAATGTTGGTCAATCAGGAAATCTGGGTCATTAATTTTTAATGAGTTTTGATTTTCACCTCCTGCTAGCACAGCTGCGCATGTTCTTAAGGAATCTTTTTTTTTGTTTCCAAGTATCTCCATGCTCTTGCATGCTTGAGCACAAGGTGCTCACTCTTGGTTACAGCAGCATCCTCCCTGTTCAGATAAATCAGTCATAGAACAAATCTGTGCATTTGCAGGTTATTTTTGTCTTTCTCCTCTGCCTGCTGAAATCAGCCCCCAAGTTAATTTGTCACATAGTTTTCAATACACAAAGGCTGTTTTCAACTTCTATTTGTTTTAAGAAGAATTTCCAAGTTGTTTCTTTCTTCCTTTCAGCCTCTCAAGCTGATTATTGCCAGTCAAAATTATTAGCAGTAAATTCTGGCAAATTTCTTTGAAAAGAGCATAAATCTTGTGCAACGTGACCACAATGCTGAGATGGCTGCATGAGGGGCAGCCCCTGGGTACAGGATCATCTTCTTTATTTATTGTTGAATTGTAAAAATATTTGACTTTTTTCCATAGGAAACAAGTGTTTTGTGGCTGGGCTGTTGAAAAACACATTCAGCAAACTAGAAAGTTATGTTGTTCTTAGGAGGAGAAAAGATCAGTTCAACAGGTTTAACTTTATGCCTTAATGAAGATTTATTTAGCCTCAATTGGCAGGCAGCACAGTGAGAGATTGGTGTAACTCCACTGGTAGGGCTGGAGAACATCCAAAGGTGCATTTAGAGACCTTCCCATTTGACTCATTCCTGGATTTGGAGGAGGAAGCACTTTAAAAGAGCACTTGCCTGCACTTGTTGGGGAGATAAAAACAGTAGCTGAGAAAAGGAAAGTAGGCAACACATTCCAAAGAGATTATAATTGGTACATGATTGAAATCCCATATTAAAATAATTTCCTGCCCACTTCTTTGAGACTTAAGTCTTGACTTTTCCACAAAAGGGCTCTTGTGGGCAGCCCGGCGTAAGTGAGTTAATAAATCAGGTTTATGATTCTCAGTTAATAAATTGGCACAGAGCCACTGGCTTCTGTATTCAGAAGAAATTAAACCAAGGAGAACAAGTTAAGCCCCTGTGCTCCTGGTGTGGAGGTTGTCCCAGGTGTGGCTGTGTGGCACTGACCCCCTTCAGGTGACAGATGCTGGTCAGTGGGATGGTTCTTGGAGCACTGCCAGCCATTACTTGCTGCCACCCCTCATTCTTAGGCTTGTTTGGTTTTTATTTACTTCAACTTATCAATGTTTTTAATTTTAAAATTAATTTTTAAATCCTTGAAAAGTCATTGACTTGAAATATGCTTCTTGTATAATATTGTTGAATAATACCGATGAACAAAGCTTTTTTTAAATTTTTTTGCCTCCATTTTAAGCTTTCCCACATTTTTTTTCCTTTTCTAATTGTGTTTCTCGTTTCTGGTTTTGATCAGGCAAGAATCAGAGCATGAAGAAATCCCTAACAGAGCTATAGGCTGCCTCGTGAGCAGGAGTGCAACATGGATTGCTTTGGGTTAGGGCTCAGTGCAGCACCAGTTTGGGCAAGCCATGGGAAAAGTGCAGGAATTGGTGTGGCTGGTGCTGAACTCCCTGCCCTGCTGGGGGACTTTGGGAATGTTTCTTTTCCTACTTCTAAAGCCAGACCCAGACTGTGCCCCGGCCCCCAGAGCCTGCCCTGGGTGTGGTGGGAATGTCCCTGGAGCTGAGGCACTGAGCATCAGTCCAGGGAACATCAGCCAGTGGTACCTGGGGTGACACAGGCTCTGGGGTTGTGTGATGTGTGTGGAGGTCAGGGAGAGCTGGGCACGTCCGACAGAAACATCTGGGGTCTGTGGAAGCTGCAGCACTGCCCTTGTCAAGTCCTACCACACTGCTCCTCTGGCTTTTGTGAGCTCAGACCCTGCTCCTTCTGTGTTGGAATCTG